TTAATTATGAAGGGACCACTTCGGATAGATATGTCTTAGCAGACTTGAGAAGCCACTTGTGGATCAAATCAAACAATTCTGTTTTGCCTGCTGGCCCCTATGCAATTAACCTGTATCTCTTCACCCTGGCCCAGGGAGTGTATTCACATCGCAATGTCCTCGCAGCGTCCTCACCTCGACCACCAGGCTGGTTTGTGGATGGATGCCATGGCACTTCTGAAAAGCTCCATCCAGGAACGTGAGAGGCACAGATGGAGCTTTTGTGGAAAGAACTTCCATGAAAGTCTAGTCTAGCGGTGAAAAACGTGGCACACAAGTTGGTCGTTGATCATGCCATGTGCAACATTTGCTTGCCATGTGAATTCTTTGAGTACGACACTCAACCCATCAACCATGTTCAGCCATGTTCAACCCACCAACCTGCTCGTTGCAACCTGCTCGTTGCAATCCACCGCTGCAAACCCAAGGTCTGGTCGGAAGTGCTACACTTCACGTGAGCGTTTGCAGCGCCTGCACCCGAGGCGGCGTATATATATATATATATACTGTATATATATATAATATATCGCGACGACTCGTCGCGACGACCGTTTGCCGCAGACCGCAGACCGTTTGCCGGACGGTACGGAGAATACGCCTCGTCGAGCGGATGGTGTCCAGACGTGCACATTGGCATGGAGGGAACGGCCCGATCTTTTCTTCCGGCTCAGCCTTGGGAGATGAAAAGGATGTGGTGCTCAACACCGGAGAAAACCCTAGAACACCACCTACAAATTCATAGAAGACCATTGAATACCACTGATATATCCAGATTGGATGTATGGCCTAGAAACCCAGCAGGCAACATGTGGTCTTCCACCGTCATGCAGTTGGTTCTGCACCAGACAGTTTCAAGCTTGATTCTGATTCTGGTGAAGGGCTGGGAGCCCGAGGAAATCGGACCTGTACTATTAGTAATTGAGAAGATGCTATGAGCAGCTGGACAAATAAACTGTATATTATATTATACACATATGCGTCATATGCGTGTGCTTTGTTGAATTTGTGCTTTGAGTACTTGATGTTTTCGTTGGTAGACATGGTAGGGAAGTGCAAGACAGGGCGACACACCCCGCATCCGGCATCCAGTCCAGCTTCGACAGGGCGCCGATGGGAACGCTCCATGCTGCTTTGGGAGGAGCCGAGTTGTTTGTCTGCCCTGGGGTAGTGGGGGTTCGATTTGGAAGAGACATCAAAAATGCCAGTCGGTCCAAGAATGAATTTCCTTTGGCAACTTTGGATCTTGTTTTTGCCTTTAGCACCTGCTCTATTTATGCATCTCAATTGTGTCCACCTTCGGGGCGACGACGGCCGCTAGGACATGAGAACTACGGGCTTCTGGCCGGATGCCGCCGCGCATGGTGCTGTCCTTACAGACGGAGAAGTTCCGACTGTAGTTGGATGTCCTACAATGGGGCAAGAAGTGGGGTTCTTGATTTGGTTACTTATTGTTTCATGTCCTGCATGGGTTGGAGTTATTTCCTTTCTTTTATGCAGTCGGCGAAGTGAATCGAACTTGATCATCACGGTTTTGGCCCAAATTGTGTCTCCTGATCTACGCATAGCTGTTTCTAGCTCGAGCCTGCTGCACTTGCTGCCGGAGTCTTTACAAGGCTTGTTCTTTTGTGCGTGTGAAGAGCCAAGGAATAGTGAACTCGTGATACGTCATTTATTTCCACTGGAAGGGTGAATGCTAACTAGTCAGAAAGTAGGTCCAATGATTCACCAGTATCCATCAAAAGTGTTTGGAGGAACTGGCTGATGAGTGATTGTTTGGTCAAGTTCAACCAGTCTGAGCCAATCGCTCGCCCCAACCAGAACGAGGTATTTGAAAGACACTGGTGTCTTGCTGGGTAGGTCTTCAATGTAGCTACTGTGTAATTTCTTGACAGACTGTGTGTACGCGTACACCATAATCTTAAAGTCTTAGACCCTTAACAGGAGCTTATTCTGGTTTTGCTCAAGGTGATTTGTATTTTCCCTGTGGGTGAATGCCCTTCGGCAAATCCAAGTGATAAGGGATTTACTCAAGTCCAGCTGTGTTGTTTGCTACATAGTGTCCACCAACGCAGTGGTCTCGGTGGAGGACGCAGTGGCCTTTGTTTATAGTTTTTTGTTCGCTTCGCTTGTAGAATTGTTGTCCTAAATGGTCAACATCCTCAGCGACTGTGTTATTTGGTTGAACCATGTCCGATTTGCCGAACTTTGCCAACGTGGTTCGACTGGGTTCCATGATGACTTGAACCATGTAATGTTTAAACATGACTCACATGACTCATGACCATTGATTGATGTTCATTGTTTGAACCCACCAAAGCATTTTGTTGCATTTGCAGGCATGGGAGCGTGCAATGAGGGGATGCGAAAGCTCTTGATGCCTGCCGATTCTTTGATGCACTGAGAAATGTGGAGTTTGGCAGCTAAAGGACCGGTGGGGAACGGGGATTGTCAACGCCAGTGAAGGCATCATGTGACCTTGACTAGCTTTCTTTGTATCATTACCAAAATATAATCGACACTCATCGCCAAGCAACTCGACCCTCGATGCTATAGAAACTGAAATGCTACAGAAAACTGACAAATTTCAGTTGTCAGCCACTTCAACATCATCACACATCCATTTTGCAAAGCCAGCAAAGATGAAATAAGTAATAAGCATCCTGAGCCACACTCTTTCATCCGAATCTGCACTCAGGAGGGCAGCTGCACACGAGACTGGGAAGGCTTTGGAGATGTCGAAGAAGGCAGCGCCGCCACCTTGGGTTCATCTTGACGCGCTCAGGTGGATAGAAAGTGAGTTGACCAGACCTACCCTTAGGGCATCTTAGGCCAAAGACATCAATCAAGGACATCTATGATACGTAGCATGAGCAGACAGAACTGCTTCTGTAGAGGAATCATCTCTACCTCCAGTCGGAGCCCCGCCATCCGGGGCCGGGAGACGCTACTATCGGTGGAGCCTTCCGGTGGAGCATCTTCCCACTCGAAACACTGAGGGCGGAGAGCCTAGTGCTTTTGGAGAGCTCTCAGTTCCTAGAGTCTTAGATGCCCACCTCTTAGTAGTTTGAGCTTCATGCTACATCTCCAGTGTCCAATCCAACTTGAAACCTTAGTTCAATTTAGTTCATTCTTTTCCTAGCAGCAGGTGAGTGAATACCGACTAAGGCAATCCCCAACCAATAGGTGGTGGTAGTGAATCCCCTATCACACTGTTGTCACAATTGAACAGTCCAAGTGTTTCTTTAGATGCAATTTCCTTTCCTCATCTGGGTGTGATGAGGCGAATTGGCATTAAAGTCAGCACCACTTTGAAACCAGCGAGGCAGTTTGCTGATGATCGGCCACGTCGGCATGCCTTGCTTCTCCCAAGACCCTCGGCATCAAGGAAGCTTCGTCCGAACCATCATCGATCCCGGATCTCCAGGAGGATCAAAACCAGGATGAACCAGGAGACTTACCAGGGGGATCCCGATGTAACTTCGATGTAACTCAAAGGTCAAATTTGTGGGTGTCTGCATCTTTGCAGTTGTGTATGTGTTTGTCCACTGGCTATTTTGCACCTTTGTACCGAAAGGATTGGCCTGGGAGGCCCACTCTCTTTCTGCATGGTGTGGCGCCGTGTTTCTGGGGAACATCCTCAAGTAAAGCTTTTCTTGTAATGAATCTGAAGACGTCTACACTCAACCGACCGGATGGGCATATCCACGCGGTGTATGAAGTTGTCGGGCAAGGTTAGGCAAACATAGAACTGCTGCTGATGCTGCTCCCTTTCAAGCAGTGGCCTGTTGGGCATGTCCACATGTTGACAACATTGGGGATGCTTTGCATCGTTTCAGTGTCATTTGTGGCCGCATTTGCTTTCAATCGGTTGGTGGGGTCGTGGGCACGCTTGCTTGTGGAGCAAAAGCAAGGGTTGGATTCAGGTTGGCAGTTTGTTTGTTGTTTGCATCGAGGCTTGTTGCATTGAGCTGCAACACAGCTTAAGTTGTATTGTTCTTCACCATGCCCTAGTACAATTGCTGAAGACCCCGCTGCACAACATGCTGACATAACCCAACGCAGTTTCATGATGTTTCATGGTTGTTGTTTGTCTCAGCATGTGTCACATCTTGTGGCCATTGTGGCGTGCTCCCGGGCTGAGGATGCTACGCGACGACTCTTTTTAGAGGCCGATGGGATCGACTGTCGGTCACGGGATCGGCTGTTGGTCGCACATTGTGTGTGTTCTTCATCTCGTACATATAGTTTTCAGTTTCGCTATGTTCTGTAGTTCTGCTTCGCGCAGTCATAACAACGAGGGATGAAATGAACATGTTTGTTTCACTGGCTGACTGTGACTTCAATAGTCATGGATTCTACTGACTACGGAGACATGATGAGACATGTATCAAGAATCAAACACCGATGTTGTTCCAACGGCATCAAGCTTATGACCCTACTGGATTGGAAGACTCTCCTTTCTCAGGCCCTCAAGTCGTACAAAGGTTCACCCACCGGTGGCTTTTAATATCCTTTAGTCATCTTTAGTCTATTGTTCCTTTGACCAGGGAGGTCTATTCTATTGTCTATTGTTTGTGTCTGATGTGTTCACAACACATTTGGGTCGTTCACGCAGTGAAATCACGGATCGATGCTGGCCGACGCTGAGGGCATGGGAGCTGCAAACTGTGAACCATTGCAGATCGGCGCCACAGGACTCAGGTGAGCCAGGGAGTGCGGAGATCCTGGTAATGCAGATCCAAATCCAGTTGCACAGCTTTTGGGATGTTTGTTTCATGAGATCCTTAAGGCTGCTGTCTTGCCGAATGGAATCAAATGATTAGAACAATGTGGAAAAGACAACAACAAAAAAGGACGCAGATGTTATGTCACTTGCCAACCTTGCCCTGCTTTTCTTGGATCCATGTCGCAGGCTACAGCAGATAGATGGGCCTGCTGAAGCATCAACTTGGCCAGGGCAGATGTACATTTGGGTCGAGCAAGTTCAGGAAACCTGGAAGAGGTGTAGGCACGCGAAGCCGACGCTTTTGCTTTCCCGTCGTCAGGGAATGGTGGGTTTTAGATGTTTTCCCCACCTGCCAGGTGAGGGTTCTTAGATTCTATCAGAGCTGTCCTCTCCTCCTCCTCGCCTCCTCCTCTGAACCAGATAAAATGCTAGAACGAATGTCAGCAACTATGCCAGAAGACATGCACGATAGAATATCAGAATATATGCCAGAATATGCCAGATATATCCAAGTTTATGCCAGGAAGAATATCATAATAGATGTCAACATAGTTTATATAATAATGTCCAAACATATGCCACATAGCGCCAGAACATGTGCTAGAAAGAATGTCAGAATGAATTTCAGAATTTATGCCAGATAGACTACCAGAGAGAACGCCAGAATATATAGAACGCCAGAAAATATCCCAGATAGAATATATACAAGATAGAACGCCAGAATATATCAGATAGAATGTCGGCATTTATGCCAGATAGACGAATGCCTGAATATATGCCAGATAGAGTGCCAGAATGTATGCTAGATAGAATGCTAGTGTATATGCTTGTATATGCAAGATAGACACTTTCTTGGTGATGTTGAAGCATCATATAATGTCATGGTGGGGATCACTCGAAGAAAAGTATTTGTTAATATTTGCATGATATGCTGTTAGGATGCATCAAGAGCGACGCGTTCAGACGATGTTTCGCCGCTGCGCAGGTCCATGGACGACGAGGTGGTGGAGTCTGCGGTGTGCTGCCACGACGAGCGCGCAGCGGACGCGCTGGTGCTGCGAGATCCCGGCACGCAGAACGCTGTGGTGGTGAATCAGGCGGACATTTGTCGTTGGGGGGAAAAGGAGGGGCCTTTGGGAACTGACGGCGCACATTTTGTGTGCTTCCCTTTATTCTACGACACATTACATGGTGAATTGTTTTGGCTTGAAGTGTAGCTGAAGCTGTTCAATTGAAGCCTTGGAACTTCAGGGTCCTTATCCACTCCCTGAAAGAATCCTGGAGCTGGAACATGCCTTGGATGACAATTTTCCTTTACAAACAGGTGGTCTTCCATTTCCAGCATGGTTATTTCAGTGTAGTGGTAGTGTAGTGTAGTGTTTTTTTTTGAGACTTGAATGTCGCCTTTAGGTGCATGTATCACTTGTTAGGTGCAGGTGAGCTGTTTCGATCAATCTAGTAATAATCAAATCTGGAATCTTGCTGCTACCGTAACTTGTGGCAAATCCCAGTCCCTGGATAGTACCCTTCCTTTCAGACATAACCCAATTCATACACCGAATCTGATTTTTCATGTTTTGTTCAAGCTTTGTTCACCTCCACCGTGGGCGCGACCCATTGTCCAAACTCCAGCGCTGGTCATTGGTTGAGTCATTTGAGGGGCGAGGGGGGGTGCTGCTTTCCCAGCGCAGGCACCAAAGGGTTACACCAAGTCTTTGCGACAAGCGCCTGGGCAGCTATCAAAGAATGGTGCTCAAGCGAGCTTTGGGCTGGAGTATGGCATGGTTGGATGTTGTTTCATGTCAAAAAGAATCGACGCCCCTGGTACTGCACTTGATTCTTGCGCACTGTGCTGTTTTTGGGACATGGATTGATGTGGCTGGACAGGAATCTATATGTCATGAAATGACACGTTGATTACTGGTGTGGTTGCCTCGTTTGGGGCAGCTTCTCTTGCAGATCGCGGTTTTTTTTGGCGCAATTGAGGCTTTGACCACAGAGTCACCCACTGATTTTCACCGATGGCCACGACCCAGAGGTCTTGAAATTAAGCACCCTTCCGTGGCACCTAAAAAGAGCCTAGGCCTATAGGCTCTTTTTCATTTTTGATCCAATGGTTCTTTCTTGTCCAAAACAATCGGATTTGGAAGGCCTTGGGCAAGAAGGTGGAGGCCTCCAATGTGGTGTGCCTCATGGACTTGCTGCGCCTTGGAACTTCATGACATCTCCCAGGCTTCCCAGAAATGGATCCCTTTAGCTGTTTGACAAGAATACACTTCACCATTGGGCGGCCCGGGTTGAAGGTGTTCTAATTTTTTTGGGGGGGAGTGTCACATACAGCCAGGTATACAGCCGGCTAGCCAGCCAATATAGACGAAGGGAGATCAGGTGAACTACCTGACGACAGACATCGTGGCTAGACTAGCGGCTAGACATCGGTGAAAGACACCTGCAAAGGAATTGTTCTATAATGTTCTATCGTTTTATCGTTCTATCATCGTTCTATCCATGCGTCCATCCATCCATTTGTCCATCTATCCATCTATCCAACTATCCATCTATCGATCTATCTATCTATCCATCTATCTATCTATCTATCTATCTGTTTGTCCAACTAGCTTGTTGTATATGCATCTGCATGTGTCACTCTTTGTTCCTCAGAATTTGCGAGGTGCCTCGTGCCCGTGGGATGCTCCGCACAGTTGGTGGGTTTTTATCAGCGTTCCTTGGCTTCGCTGCTTCGGCGGTTGGATTCAGAGGATTACCGTGGAAACCAGGTGGCCATCATTTGGAGCCAGCGGTCCCGGATGGTCCAGGTGTTCAATTTGCCTTTCTTTACGGCAGATACAGAGACTTAGGATGTTAGGATGGTACTCCGGTCTTAATGTGTGTACTCTTAGATCCTAAGCTCTTTGTTTCCAGGGGGTATCTATATACATATATATCATATAAATATTACACAATTTCACCACTATACTTATTCAGTCTCAACCATGTGAAACCCTTAGCAATAGATCTAAGGACGGGCATTGTTTGCATTGCAATTGTCGAACTACACAATGGATATTTGCTGATGTGACGTATAGAGATGGGCCGGGTCAGAAGCAAACATCCCAATATTGGCAGGTCGGCTTTCCTCCCAGACCGTGCCGGTCCATACCGGTCGTGCCAGGTTTCTTATCCTGTCAAGTGACCAAGTCCAACGAAGGGTACCGTATCCACTTCGGAGCAGGAACTCGGACTGGGCTGGACTGTTCGAGAATTTTCAAGAAAGGGTCGGGCAAAGAGCCCGGAGACAGGACATCGAAAAACGGTATGAGAAAATGCTGAGCATATATGTATGTATGCGAAAATGAGCCCTCAAACGAGAGTCTGAGACTCAATAAGACTTTACAGTCCCGATTGTTATTGACATGTTTGCAGAGGACTCATGTGAACTCTCCGCTTGGAATTCAATGTCCTTTCATTGGATGTGAAATGACCAAGAACTGTTTGTCATTCAACATGGCTTTGATCCCCAGGAGACTTCCTTCGTCAGACCTTCACTTTCAAAGACGATGAAGCGGCCATTTGGTCTGGCTCGAGCTCCGCGAGCTCTGCGAGCCGCGAGGCGAGGGTTCGGTATGTCACCGGTGGGTTCTTCCGTATCAGCCGAATTGGAAGGACAGGAAGATAAGCTCGGAAGAGAAAACTCTGCAAGTTGCGAGGACGATGCGACTTTGCGGCGCTGTCGATCACTCCAGAATGTGAGTTCAACAAACAAGCTTTCCATCCAAATCCTGCCACATATCTTCAGCTCCAGTTCTTTTTCCCACAGAGCTGAATCCCGGTGGGGACTCGGTTGAAACCTCTGACCCCTTCCTCCGAGTCAGTCACTCAATGACCACGTCCAGGTGTGCTTCTACGTGGCTTCGGCGGCCAAGTTCCGGATTGCTTTCTCCAAGTGCTTCCAAGCTGGCTTGGTGAGCACCGAGTGGCAGGCCGGAAATCGATGATGTTGATCTTAACGGGGGAAGGCGACTCAAGGAGTTGACCAGGATAGAACGTTGAGCAAGTGAATGTCATGCTTCAGTTCTATGTTTCAAAAGACTTGGTCTTAGTTGAGATTTGCTCAGCTCATTTGGCCCCTTTTCCATCCTTTTCCTACTCATCCGATCTCATCCCATCCCGCGACCTCGTCTCTTCTGGCAGGCGGTGGAACGCCTTGGCGAGTTTTCCTTCGACCGATGCGTGGATGCCAGCGGCGGCACCATCCTGGAGCTGCGGCATGTGATCCGATCCCCGTGCCATGCAGACTGCGCGGTGACGCCGGTGGTGACTTGGATTTCAGACGAGGAAGGTGTAGCAGCGTAGGCACCTGGTTCCGTTGGGGCAGAAATTTTTCCCCCGGTTCCGTTGGCTGTGATGTTCCAAAAGAATTCTGGATGTGGAGTCTTTGGGTGTTGTTTTTAGTATTATTGTGGCCTCCGGCCTCCTTGTTTTAAGCTGTTTTAATGTGCATATGAACGCAATTATACAATTGAAATGTGTGTTTTTCCATTGCTTCACAGACTTAAAGTTTTCTCGAGTGATTGGGTCGGTTGGTGTCGCAGACGAAGAAAGGATTCAAGCATGAGAAACACGCGTTGCCGACGAAAAAAAAGAACGTCTTCAGTGGGATCCGCGCAAATGCACCGACAGAACTGCGTATGGTTCGTAATTCACATGATTCTTTTGAACGTAGTGTAGACATGCTTGCCGGGGTCACTGGGGTGCTTGCCGTGGTTTGTTGCCGCTCCTTGTTCTCAGGACTCGACGTTGATGGGCGCCTGATAGTCTAGGTCGGAGGTCCACGTCCACGAAGGCAGTGGCTGATTTTTATGACAAGGACAAACCGGGTTTAAGACTCCAAAACACATCACAGTCCCACCTGCAGAGTGTTGACTAGAATTACTAGATTGTTCAAGGCCCTATATGGTTGCTCCAGCCATTGAAGCTCAAGAAGCCATGGATGGGGTACATGGGAAACCCAAAAGCCCTCTTGCAAGCCTGGTGTCCTTGGAGCATCCCTGAGTTATGTGGGAGTCCTGGGCAGTAGAAGAATGGGAGTCCTTTCCTAGATCTACCCTTTGGTATGCCAGTTTCGGCGAAAGATGCTGCAAAGCAGGTCGTCAACAGAATCGCCCCATTTTCTCAACCAAGCGGCCGGAGCTCTAAAGCAAAAAGGTCCTTGGTTGTCACAAAGCTTTCATTGACATGTACAAAGAATATATGGCTAATACGCCCTAAAGGCATTCAAACCTTGCAAGCTTGAAAAGAATGCTGCATAAGGATTTGGGTGGGTGGGTGGGCAGTGATGCAGCCTGAACTGCTTCAACATCCATTTTGTCCATGCTTACTCTACCAGTTTCGGCCCATGGTTTGCTTGTGGGCACGTGATCCAGACTCAGTATGACATGTAGGCCATCTCACCATGTAGGGAGTCCTTTTCCTGTCAACGAAACTAATGCCAATGCTTTCTGACGGCTCTGGTGTATGATCGTGTATGTGTGTGTGTCTCAAATAATATATAATAAACAGAAAACACACCCATGATCTAGGTTTGAGTTTTGGATCGCTGTATGTCATGTCGGTCCCTCACCATCCTCATCCGGCTTTGTTTGCCGTGGGAGACATCAAACCGTGTAGTCTTACTTTGAAAGGAAGAAATCCAACACGCAAGACTTCCGATGTCAAGTGCTTTGATCAGATACGCACCTAGCAAGTCTTGGGATTTCTAACCAGTCCATACAATTCCACCTCAAAGATAGATCAACCAACACTCGCTTCGGTTTCGGTGGTCGCGACCCACCGAGGTGCGTTACTGCAGATGCTCTCGGTCGCTGGCGCGGGCAAATGGCGTGCATCCCTGGGCCACCTGGCAGGTGAGGTTCGAGAATCAGTGAAAGAAGAAGAAGACGACGAAGACGAAGGAGCAGCAGCTTTATGGTTTGATGATGTTTGATGTCATCTTTGAGCATTTCTTTGGCTTTGCCTCAGCATGTTTCCACATGGAATCTCATGGCTCTAGAATCCCCACTTCTCAGTGCCGTCAGGCCTCAAAGGCTTCGCCTCCACGATCTTGGGAAACTTCGCCATGGCGCCCTGTGAACAAGTCAGGCGTCGCCTCCTCGATCGCCATCGGGTCACCTGTTCAGACGGTCGGGCCGGGCCGCGGGCCGCTTTTTTCGAGCGGGAGGCGAGGACGGACGGTCATGGCATTCGGGGGTACACCGGATTTTCACAGGTGTTCACCACACTGTCCTCTTTTGCCAAGAATGTGTTGGGTCAGAAGGCATGTCGACCTATTCGTCGAACTATGTGATGTTGAATGTCCATCTCCGATCAACTGATGCAGTTCCTTCTCTCTCATGCCTGGTGAGGCAATGGAGAGAGGCATTGTGGGTCTCATCAAGTCTGGCTGAGGCTGGCCTTCCGCTCCTCATTTGGAACCCCATGCGAAGGAAATCTCTGAGGGCCCACATCCAACCACTGTGTCAGCTCCCTTTGCAAGCAGTTCTCAATCGGCTTTTGACTTCATGTGTGGCCACTCTCCGCCCCTGATGGCTACTTAGCGGCTAATGAGATCCACTGCTCTTAGACAAATAAATTGAAACAACCAATTTCGAGAAGGTCTGCGTGGATCAGGGCTAGGCAGGCAATCTTATGTTTTCATTTGGCATTTGGTAAGTTTCACCAAGATAAGTAGGCCATAGGCTTATGATGTACGCTAAAGCTAGTTCTGATGACACAGCAAAACATAAAAAATGCATAAACATTGCAAAATAATGCAAAACCAATCCCGAAAAAAAATGCACAGAAAACGCAAAAACAAGTCACCAAAGGATGCCTTGGAATGCAAAACAAAAACGCGAAAAATGCGGGGAAAAAAAAAACGTATTTGTCCACTAAACAAATGCAAAAAAACGCACAAAAGATGCAAACAAATGCACAACAAAGGCACAAAAAATGCAACACAAATGCACAAAAAATGCAAAACAATCGCAATCAAAAAGCAAAACAAATGCGATCAAAAACGTTCTCGTCTTTGCCTTTGCAATTTTTGCTATTTATTTGCTTTTTTTGCGATTGTTTTCTTGCATTTTTTGTGCGTTTCCTTGAGAACACGAAAAAAAAGAATCACACAAAAAACGCACAAAACATGCAAAACAACAATGCAACAAAATCGCACATCAAACGCACAAACATCGAAAACAAATCGCACAAAAAAGGTGGTGTGTGAAATTTGGTTGTGCATGTGCATTTTTGTGCGTTTTGTTCGCTTTTGTTTTACGTTTGTTTTAACTGTTGTTTTGCGTTTTGTTTGCGTTTTTTGGGTTTCCTTTTGCAATGTTTGTGCTTTTTTATATGCACTCTGTTTGACCAGCTGCCTTTTTCTTGCCTTTTTTTTGCATTTCCTAGTCATCATTTCTGAGTACGGTTTTGCATTTTTTTGCCTTTTTATGAATCCTTGAGAATTCAGAGTTAGGCTGTAAGGTACATCATAACCATAGGCTATAAGTGCTGTAAATCGAAGTAAGCTGATCCCCTTACGGCCTTGCGGTGGAATTCATGTCAGACGCACCCGCTAAAATTTATTATTGCCAAGTCGCGTTTGAAGGCTGGCTTGGAAGTGGATGCCAAGACCTTTGGCCTCGCTTTGGGGTTTGCATCTCAGACTGTCTCTGCAAACAGATTTCTCACCCAGCAGTCGTTTTGGGGATGTTCACTTGGTTCACTTGTTGCAGCTTGAAGCATGCTACATGCCTTTGCTTATTAATGCAAGTATAAATGCAATAGTCGTTTCTAAGATTCCGGCTCGAAAAGGACGTTGTAGCCAGTTGTAGGGGTCAACATAACAGGTATACGGGTGGAACAAAAAAGGTGAGGGGCCGGGGTCGCAAAAAAAGGTTGCAGGGTGAAAACACAGGTGACCCATATTACAGTAAATTGCCGGCTCCTGATGTTTGAGCACTCAGGTCGTTACAAGTTCCTCATCAATGGGCCTTAATCTAAGTGCGTTCAGAGTCTCTCCATGGACAAGACAGCAGCAAAAGTGCAGTCAATTCCTTCACACAAGGTTTCCTTGTGCCCAGAATGGCATGCCCAGAATGGTTGGGGACATCGTATGTAACATGTTGGATCTTCAAAGTGACCCCAAGCATCAGCTTGATCACCTAGTATCTCGAGCATCAGGTTTGATGTTGGTCTAGAGATCGGCCCTACACATTACTGCACTCTCATGTCCTGCACTCTCATGTCCTCCAGCTGTACGTACATGTCTCAAGTGTTGGCTTGATGTTGGTCTAGTGTGTGTGTCAATTCAGTTCAATTGAACTCACTAGCACGGACAAATCCAATGCACTCACCGGTACCAGACTGATATTGCACACTGGGACCCTCTCCATTTGTTGGTGTTCCGAGTTAGAGTGGTTAGAGAGCCCCATGAAGTCAGATCCGTAAGTCTATACTACTGAGGTTGAGAGGTTTCCTGCTTTTGGTTTCAGATCGCTACGACTAAGACGGTGTCCTGCTCGCTCTTCACCGACGTAACGACCCGGACACCCAGACATCACAGCGGTGGACTCGCCCCCAAAAACACGACGTCGGATGAAGGATGATGAGACGCGGTGAGATGGTAGACGCTTCTCTTTCGGGGGGTTGATATGTTCGGAAGGTACCATTGAGTCTCCGGTTTATAGGTGTCCGATTTCCGCGTGTCCCAGAGACTTGGGCTGAGGCTCGCTCCTTGATCCTTATGGCGGAACTCCCAAACAAGCGGCCGACGACTCGGCCGTTGCCGCCGAACTGCTTATGTGGGCGGTTTCGGAAGACATGCTGAAACGACCCATGACATTGAATCAATGCTGAAACCACCACTTAATGAATCTTAATTGTATATTTAGGGCACCTTGACCTGAACGCGAGCTATGATTGCCAAAACCCCTAAGTTGATGCGAACGAACCGACTCCAGGCTGGCGATGAATGATGTGCACCTGGGTGCGGCCTTGGCAACGGCTCAGGCGCCTCTTGACCGGTGGAGTGGGGGACGAGCTTTGTTGGCCACATAGGACATCAACAGCCATTGGCTGAGAGCTGGGTGTATAGAATGTTAGCTCAGCTGCAGCTCTTTGTTGTCTTGTTTTTGAGGGTCTCACAAAGCCTTGAGAAGACTAGATGCTGCAAATTTGGACCCACTCTGTTATGATTCCTCTAATCGACAGATGCATGTGGAGGGTGTGTTTAAACTCTGACACATAGCTATCAGATTTATGGCACAACTGTCAATAATTTTTAGGTATTGATGACCAGTGCAAGACAACAACCCACGCCA